TAAAAAAAAAAAAAAAAACAAAAACAAAAAACACCACCTTGAGTTGAGTTCAGTTCCTGATTAAATCATAATAAATAAAAAATTAGCTTTTTTTTTAATTCTTATTTATAAACAATCATAATCCATGTAAATTCAGGCATAATCCATCACATTTCCCATCAAAGCTGTAGCAGGTCCAATAGAGTATCACTTATAACTCTTATTAACATGTCTGGTGTTGCAAAACCATTTTCCAACACACTGAAATCATGAGGCATGCCCCAAAAAGAAGGTATTTTGCAATTCATTACTTGCACACTTTCGCTTAGGCATCTGTATCCAGATCAAATGTTTTCTGAATTTCAGATTTGAAGAAAGGTTTTCAGTGTTCTCTTTTTTGCACCTTATCAATAAATCATCTAAATTTCAATTACTTCTGCAAGTTAAATAAGTATTTTCATATTTGACTGCATGTTCTCTCTCTTCCATCCTTGAGGTAAATCAGCACCAGCAGAGTTAAACCAGCAGCTTTGCATTACAAGCTTCTTTATTCCTGACTTAGAGCTTAAAATTGGCCACTTTCAACTCTTGCAATTTTATCATAAAAAGCATACTGTTTAGTACTATACAGACACTTCAAATTCTAGAATCACATTATCTTTGAAAAAAAGACTTCATAATTATTTTCTAAGAGACTAGATGTCTTGGCTATTAAAAAAAAGAGACCTGAAAATGTGTAACTACTAAAGGCAAAACCAGAAGGCAAAAAAGACCTATCATTTTGTTATCTTAGCTATGCATTGATTCTGTGTTTGGGAAAAGATTATTAAGGTTGAAATACAATTGTATAAATTCTGAACATCTGAAACACAACGTACCATCATGAAGCAGTTTGAACCACTGACAACACCTGCAATGAGTACTGAGGTTGTTATCATCTTTCAACACAATGGTATTCTCTGAGTCTGAGCTGCTTTAGGTTTTCAACCAGGCAATCCCAAATTTGTTTCTCTATGCTGCACACAGTTTCTTTATGTATCATATACAACTTGTCTCAGACACTTCTTGCACATATCAAGCCAAAGGTTGCTCTTAGAAAGGCTCACCACAAAGTTGGATGACTTAGTACTTACATGTTTCTAGCCTTCAAGAGGTAAAAATTGAGCTTCTTCCTGGAATTAGACCAAAGAATGCCCCCAAACAGAATAGGTTATTCAGATCAGGAAGTTGGAGCAGTTAGATGTGAATGGATGTGTTGTCCTTCAGTGTCCTTCCAAAACAGCAACAGGTTTGCCTTAAACATAACAGCCTGACACACTCCGGCTCAGAAAGTTGAGTGTATTTGTAAATACACAACAATGGATCAAAAGAGGACTTCAATTTATTATTATTAGGTCTTTCTAAAATTAAGTGCAGCTTTTGTTTTGCTGCTTACAAAGAAATTTGCCAGGAGGCTGAGTGGCATGTTTCAAGATCTACACATCATTAGCTCTTCTAGAATTGCATGCAGACACTGATAAACCCTTGATTACAACAGATAAATTTTGAATTTACTCTGAGGTAAACAGTATATCAGCTTTGCTATTGAACGATGAAAAGACCTTTAGTAAAAAGGCAGCAGAGCACTAGAGTTAAGTGTCCTGTTTAATCTTTAAATCCCGTGTTTTTCTTATCCATGCCTTAAGACTGCAATTCATTATAATTAATATTTTATAAATTGTAAAGATACATTTTTAAAGCTACTTGATCCAGGTCCTCTTCTGGGCATCTGTGGAACGTGTTTTCAACAATGTTTTTCTTTCTTGAAAGGCACGTTCCTTTGAAACGCACTTTTTTTACAGAGGAGTCTTTCTCCATTTTCAGAACTGTACTTGGGTGCTGTGATATGCCTTGTCACGTCAGCTCAGTCATATTCCATTGACTTGTAGTTTATAACATAAAATGAATGCATACTTCTTTTTGGATTACAGAAGGAAGATAATGCAACACAGTTGCATTGCTATTGCCTGCAATGAGAGAACATTTGTGAAGCCAGGGATAATAATTACCTGCTAGGGGCGTGCAACCTCCTCTCATTTCTGTATTGGTAATACAGGACTTTCATTAGCCTTCCTATGTGTTTCATACAGAATGACAGCTTCCTAGATTCCATGGGAACTAGTGGCAAAAGCTCATTTATAACCACTGACAATTTGGACAACTGCCTCAAAACCAAAAAGGGAGAAAGGTTATTCACAATCTTACAGAAGGGACAAATGGGAGACGAGTGGGTTAACCTGCTCAATAACTTAGATGTTTATACACCATTGCTAGAAGCAAAGGATAATAAACACAGCCAGACTATTAAATAAGGAAGGAATGGCATGTTCAGGAAGGAAGTGAAATTCAACAAGAATAGATGACAAATCCTGTATTTAAAGGAATGATCAAGTGCACAGATACGGCATGAGACTGTCTAAATTGGCAGCAGCGCAGAAAAGCAATGCAGAAAAAAATACCTGGATGTTAGTATCTCATGCTAAATATATTTCAACTGTGTCATGATGGTGAGGGGGGAAAAAAAAAAAAAAAAAAAAGAGTAATGTGAAAAGAAGCCCTGAAAGAAGTACTGTCTCTGAGATACATGAAGCTATTATTTCGCTTTCTATAGCATAGCACCCAGATGCAGAGCAGTACCCTGTCTGGCATTTCAAAGAAGATGAGTACCAATTAGAAAGGTTCCAGAGCAAAATGATGAGCAGGATCTGAGAGTAAAAAATTCAAAGGGAAAAGGCATATTTAGTTTAGCAGGGAGGAAAGCAAGGACAAATATGGCAACCATCTTCAAATACAGGACAGTTAAAAAGAACTTCTTCATATCCATTTGAAACAGAAAGGAGGATTAGGCAATATAAAGGCTGATTTAGGTTAAGACAAAAACTGAAAAATGAGATTATTTAAGCTCTGAAAGAGAATGCTTGGGGAAGTTGTGAAATCACTATCAACAGGAACTGCACAGGTATAGATGATTCTGCCTTCAGACAGGGAGGATGGACTGGCTGGCTGTCTGCTCAAAGACCTTTCTTGCCCTGTTTCTATGATTTTTATGATTCTGCTCTGCCTCCAGCTCCGTTAAGGATGGGAATGAGGAGTGACATAGCTCCGTCCTTACATGCAGTGATGGGCAAAAATGACAAGTAATACATGCAATAAGGGCAAAAGACAGAAAGCTACACAAAGAAATAGAGTAACTGATACAATTCATCTCTCCAAATATTACAATATGTACCCACTCCCCCTGCCCCCTCCCCCTTGATACCTCTAGCATTTATAAATTATGTGGTAATTTACAACATCTCAATCTCTTGAAGGAATATCAGTGTATATTCCTGTATATTCCTTGATCAGACAATATATAAAGGAAGACCAATAAACCTTTTTAATGGAATTTAAAATGTGGTTTAGGTTAATGAAATTAATTAAAATAAATGCATGAATTAGTTTATTTTTCCTATCCACCACAAACCTCAAAAACATAAGATATTCCAAATACTGTCCTTCAACTCTTTCAATTTCTAGTAGGCAAGAAATAACCTCTTATGGAAGAAATAAAGGGAATACCTGTGATACAGTTACAGATTTTAATGCTGTAACAAAACATTGCAACCACTTCATCTTACACACATACAATTTCCCCCCTACACTAATATTAGAGGTACCAGAATCCTTAGCACAGTGTCCCACCAATTTATCTTTCCATCAATGAGAAAAACTGCATCTTATTTTCAAGTAGATATTTTTATTCTGGCATGCATTTCATTGTGACTATATCCAGACTACGATTGCAACACTAGTAGGTAGATAGGTAGATTTGGGCACTGAAGAATCAGAGAGACAAAAGAATTGTATGAATCACGCACAGCCAGATCCCTTCCATTTTTCCTAATGAGAGCAATTCATATTGCGTATATTACACGTATGTAATGTGAATGCATCTAAAGGGCATAACACAGACTCTAGTGTATTTTCTCGAACATCAAATGAGGTATTTATTCACTCTGTCATAGAGATTTTAAAATGAAAAAATAACCACAGAAAAATCATAGCTTTAATTAGGAGCCCTCACAAATTTGGCTTCAGAAAAAGGGAACCTACAAACTTCATTTTTTAATTAAAATCAAGGTTGTGCACCTCACAGGATTTTAGTTAAAAATTTTTTCTTCCATTCCTTGCTGAAACATCTTACCCATCTCATTATAAATCCAGAACACGCTTCATATTCAAACTACAGCAAACAAGAAAATTTATGCTTGGAACATGTGTCACACGTCTTTTTGACTTAACACATTTTAGAGTTACTTAAGTATATTGATTTGTAATAATATTTCTGTTTGTGTTACTCAAAACATATTTAGTATTAAAACTGCATTATTCTTTTTATCATCTTGCAAGCACTAATTGATCCTTATTACAGTCACAGAAGATTTTATCCAGGTGGAAAACTAAGGTAAGGAAGTTGAACCACTTATCCAGTGTCATATCTTGTGTTACTCAGGCCTGAAATCAGACTATGATTCTATACCTCAGGCATACTGTCTAATTTTAAAAGTCTTTGTAGGATCTAGGCCTCTGTCTCAAAGCAACTGTCTTGCCATTTCTTTGGGAGATTATATGAGAAAGTGCTATACGTGGGCCCAATGCATACGAGTACAAATTTCCTTTAAGACATTTCAAAACAGAGAAGAGTTTTAAAAGTCAGTTGATACTTAATATATCATCACATCCAAAACAATTACCTAACAAGCTGTCAGGTGAAGATTTACAGAGACACCAGAATAATTAAAGTTGTCTTGAACATTTTTGACAGTGCCATATCCTTGCTCAACCAGTCCTATGACGGAGAATGTTAAGAGTACCCCAGAGAAATTTAAAATTGTGTTAGCACAGCTGATTTTGAAGGGCTTGCTCTGTCTCTTGTCTTTCCATTCCAATTCCCTCACTTCCTGTACATCTGTCATGGTTAAAACAAATATAGGACATACCTTAATCGTACTGGTGTGTGCACCGGGATATTCTTTTTCCTCCAGCGTTGACCAACGCTGTATAAATTTTGACACCAGAGGATCATCATAGTCAACTATCTGAAATCCTGAGACATTGGCTCCTCCAAACTGAATTTTTGACAAATCTCCATCGGTAAATCCCTGGGCACAGAAAACATTATGTCAGTTATTCCACCAGTTTTGGCAGATCTCTCAGTAGTACATACAAATAGTTACAAATAGTTCTACTGTAGAAGAGCAAGCCAATGTTTTGCTCAAACAGGATCCAAGGTTAAATCCTGGGTTGCCAGCATTAAGTCATCAGCTCCGCCAGCCAGCAATGCCTCTTGATGCTTCCTAAACATACACCTTCACAGAGCAAGGGCTGAGTTGTTCTGTCCTCGCCATGCTTACTTTCCTAAACAATCCTGTTAATTTTAATGGGACTGCTTAAATGAGAAAAGGAACAAAACTTGAAGGCAAGCAAGTTTTAGCCAGGGATAGTTACAGCCACAGTTGTGTCCTCTTTTTGAAAGGAACACTGAAAACGTGTGGGAGGACTTACAATTTCCTCTGCCTCCTCTCTCCAGCATAAAGAACTACTTCTCATTCTTACGAACGCTACATGTTTAGTTGTCCTTGTTCTGTGTTTTAACTTATCCCAAATAACCATACAAATGAATTTACATGAAACACTCGTTTCAGACACTTCAGTTTGAATGAATGCTCTGAGTGAACATAAAAAGAAGTAGCAACTTCAGACCACATTATCAGAAGTTGCTACAATTGCTATACTGGGTGCTTTAATTATTGCATATTAATGATAGCTATCAACTGTGTTGCTGCATGCTAATAGACACTTCTACAGGGATCATGAAACTTTCTTCAATATTACTGTGAGCTAGAAGTTTGAACAGGAACGTTTGTTGTGTTCTTTGACCCCTTCTCCATCTATCAGCATGTCTTGTTTTAAAATTTGATCACTTTCTTGACTGATCAGATAGGAAGAGAACATTAGTACAGCCAAGAAAAAAGGTAGATTCAGTAAAGAAGATGGAATAATGATCAGTACTAGATAAGTTTTCTTTCTGACAGAGAAAAACAGTTTTAAAATCATTAGCACATAGATTTTATATGATATTATAAAAAAGATTTACAAAATCTGCAGTTAAACTGTATAAATCTATAGGAAGCAAATATGACATTAAACAGCTTTAAAATAAAAGATTCAGTAAGTTTTAGATCTTATGGACTTACTGATACAAGCTTAAAGCAATGGCTAAAATAGCAACCAGTCAGCATAATGAGATACGCCAGGCAATTTTCTTAAAACTTTTATTTCCCTTAAAATTGAAATAAAATTTATACATTTGCAATGCAAAATACAAATGCCTAACAATTAGGGCATTTTTCAAATTTTGGAAGACTTTTATGCTTGCTTTGTGAATATCAGTACCTTAACTTCTCTATTCTAAAAATTAGTTAATACATATAAGAATGAAACCCCACGGTTCTGATTTTAAACAGGCCTTTAGAGCATAAGGCTTCCTCACCCCTGCCTAGTGACATACCTGATTCTTCAGAATCCTCCCTGCCTGGCAGGGGGAAGCGTTTTAATGAAAGGTTGAGAGGCGACAGGAGTTACAATGTTTCAAGTGTGACAGACACACTATGGTCGTTCTACTTCCTCAGGCCCCTCAAAGGACTATGGAAAGCAGGGTGCAAATTAAAGCAACTCTGGGCCCTGCTGGAATTTATATCAAACGCTATCACAATCCAAGAATAAATGATGAAAAAAAAATATTTAGAGGCACTCACACCATGCAAACCCCAAAACTCTTTTCTGGAACAGGGTAACTGAGATTCAAGCCTGCAGAATTTGCTTTATCTGTTACAAAACCGCATGAGATTAGATTCCCTAGCTTCAGTAAATAAGTGTTGTTGACTTTAATGTCAGTAAAATGGCCCTTCATTTCGAGACAATATTTCTAAAAAATTACGTTGACTGAATTCAGCGAGTTTCCTGAACTTTCCAACTTAGAAATACTATTAGCTACACTGACTGATCACCCATGTTCAAGAAACTATAATTCAAACTGAGAAAAGAAGATGCGTGAAGCTGAGATTCACTAGTCTAGCAGAATGAAGCTAAGAACTATAATTTTTAAGTACTTTAGAGGTGAGAGAAGAAGTATCAGTTTACAGATTGAACGTATCAGCCTATAATCCAGAAAGTGATGTTACCGATTTCCATACCCTACTCTTGTACAGTATGTAGAAAAAAAGGATGAAGCTCTACTGACAGTGCCGAACAACTTTCATTCTTATTGATGGGATATCACAGAAGGCGATTAAGCAATGAAAAAACTCAGCCAATAAAACAAATACCATCTCAACACATGCATTCATTTAGCAAGGATAAAGACATTTAGCTTTTTTCTGTTTTCTAAAATGCCTTTAAAACAAAATACTAGATGATATACTTCCATAAACAGTAGAGTAATACAGGTATTTTAAATATTAAAAATGCTTACCAGATTTGCAATGATATAATGGTATCCTTTAACATGTTTACCAATTGTGATAACCTGTAAAAAAGAAGAAATACCCCCATAATGGAGAATGTTCACCTGACATGCAGATTGAGACTTAAAAACTACAAAATGCAGTATGATGTAAAAGCTAATTATGAGCTTTATTGTATGCAATACTAAGCTTGTTTGGCACTTTTAATTTCACCTAATGCACCACTGAACACACTCTCCGCTGGTGGAAATTAGTCATGTTGAAGTCCAAGTCGCAAGATCTTTAAACAGAGGAGCTGAATGCTAATTACAACGCTGAGTATTAAAGGTACAACCTGGACAGAAGGGAGCAAGCATCAGAGTAGAAGCACTGTGCTTCACAGATTCCTGCTTAGATTGTGCTCCCTTTGTAGCTGAATTGTAACATCCCTTGAACTAGAAAAGGTTTAAAAGCCCACTGACATTAATGAAAGCATCTACATTATGAGCAAGTCTTTTGAAGTTCAAACTGTTGTTCATTGCCCTAAGGCTCCTTCATAATCTCCCTCAAAGCCAGCTGGTGGTTTCTCAGCAGTCTCCACTGACAGGCATGTAGCATGGATTCTTCTCCCAAATAATCCTAATTACGACTATGTCTGCATGGCAAAGTTTGCATTTTGAAGCAAAACATTTCACCAGAGAAAGGATGTGGAGATAAGAGGATCCATTTTTCAAACAATGAGAAGAACTTAAATCACAAGAGGATGCTTCATTTATTTCCTCATTTAACACCTAACTCAAATATTCAGAATAGGTATCCTGTAACATATGCCAGAATAGTAGTGGACAACATTCCACGTACTTGCTTCGTTGAAGTTACAGGAATGTAACTGAAGGCAGTGTTTAACACTGTTTTATATTACTAGGGTTTGAGACAGAGGGATCACATTACATAAGCCATAGAAGTTACCAAATTATTCCTCTTCTGAGCTCCATATATACATGATATACGAACTTAATTAGTCTAAACCAGTTATGTGCTTCAGACTACTTAAAAATCGTTACTTATTAAAAGGTTTAAGAATCACGTTCAGATATATTTCATAGGCAGCTGCTACTTCCAAAGAAATTTCAGTTAGACCAAACAGATGAGCTCTTCTGTATAAAAAGCTTCTTTACCATTCGTTTCTGAGGGGGGAAAAAAAAAAAAAGGTAACTGCAAGTCTTTGGATCAATGGTTAGTAACTGCTCTAACTGCCACTGGGTACTATTTCATTAATCTGGCTTTCTAACACATTGCCCTGTGCCACTCTTCCCTAGGAACACTGAGGAAGCTACTAGTTAATGCTCTGATTGGCTCCAAAAGCCGTGATGAAGGAGCTGTGGACACAAAAGGTATTTACCAGCGTCCCTAGTTTAGACTAGGGCCTCAAGCAGGGAGAGATGAGAAGTGGCAGTAGCTGCATGGCTGCCCAGAGGGTGTTATCGGGGGAAATGAGATTCTGCAAAGGAAGCTGGCTGAGAAAAGACAGAGGCTATGCAATGAAGAGCATGGTAACGCTGACCTGCCAAATCAGAAAAGGGAAAAATGAACTAGTCTGAGGAGAGCTGGAGAACTGAAACGTTTTTCAACTTACATTAAACTATTACAGTGTGGAAGAGAAACTCTAATACGAGACAAAAACAAAGAATGATGAAGCAACTTTGCAAAACACATCGTGTTTCTGTACAAAGACCCAAGGATTGTAGAGTGTAACTAGGTGAACCTGAGGTTGCCACCACAGCTTAAAATGTTCGTGGGATAAATGAAAGCCCTACGATAGAAGGTTTGTTCAAGCATAGAAAGCAAGGAAGAAAGTAAAGAAGTTGCTGCTTTATTTATCAAGAATGAATGCAAATATTTATTTATTTATTTATCAAGAATGAATGCAAATAATACTTCGGTATCCAAGAAAAATTTGGTCAAGAGAAAACCTATTGCATATGTCTCAGTAAAAATACACAGAAAAAGAAAAGGGATACTGATACAAAGGGTCTACTTCAGGCACCCTCATGAAAAGAAAGAAATTGCAGAGGCTTTTCGGGGCAGGAATTAAAAGGATTTTATAAGAAAAATCTGGAGGAAAAGAAAGACTTGAAATACATAATATGCTTTTAGAAAAGAAAGTCAGAAGAATACACTCAAAGGATACTCACAGCCTAAGAAACCCATTGTTCAGCACAGACCTTAATTTTAAGAGATGGAGAAAATTAATAGAGAAACAGTTATTTTAGATTTTAGTGTAGGCTGCTTGAGAATTTAAATTGGGTCTACCTTTATATGTAAGGAAGCGAAGTTACAGAAACAGAGTGTAAGAATAATGGACTTAAAGGACCAAACTCCAGAATCTGCTAGGGTATCTTGCAAAGCGAATCTCAAGGCTAAACCCATACGAGACAGCTGACAGCAGTTTAAGAGACTATTCGAAGGTGTATCAGTAAATTATTTTGAGGAGAAGAGCTAATTGGAATTGTATTAACTTACTTGCGTGGTTGATCCACAGTTACCTAGAATTCTTAAGTGACTTACAAACCAAAGCAGCAGGAACAACAGTTTATCCATCCGTAGCACAAGTCTGTGTGGATAAGCTGAGAAAATCTAAGACGCAACACAAGGCAGAATCCATCCAAATGCAATTAGGGCAAGAAAAATGTCCCAGAGCTGCAATTGAAAATAAGAAGCAGCCAAAGAAAATAATAGGTCTATTACTAAACAAACAAAGACACAAAAATGAGTGCTAACTAATGGGTAAAAAGGGTTCTTGGCTTTAAAAACTGGTAAAAGGGTAAATTAGAGAAACTTAACTCAGCAAACTTTTATATCAGTTAAGAGATTATATTGAATATTACATAATTTTACAAGAATCTATAGCATAGTAAGATGATAAACAGTCAATAAAATCTTGTAAAGATCACAATATGTCAAAGCAATTTCTTTCCTTTCTCTGGCATGATAGCTAGCCTAATAGATAATGAGGAAACAGCAGATGTGACATATCTTGAGTCTAAGAAGGGTTTCATCCTGTATGGCATCATTAGAAGTTCTGAAGGGAACACGGGCAAGACAAAAAGTCATTGTAAGGTACGTGAACAACCACTTGAAAAGTCAGACAGAACCAGCTGATGAGGAACGATAAGTACTCTTTCTCTCAAGAATTGCTCTATTCAGGACATTTCTTGACAAGGGTAACAAGTCAGAAAATATGACTTTAAAAATCTGCAGATAATAGAGAGGTTGCGGATGCTCTGGAGAACAGGATCAAACCCAATTTAATCTTGAAAATTAGAGAAACCATTTGTGGATAAAAAATAAAACAGGTAAATACTATGCACTCCATTTAGGATACTGCTCATTGCCCAAGACTCTCCAAAATGTAACGACCTTCAAAACAAAGACCAAAATAACAAGCCCTTCAAAAAGCTTCAAGCCAATACATCTACATTCTGATGACATATCCCTACAGATGCTGCAGAGTCACACACGGTCAACCTCAAGCCAGTAGGGAGCTATCCTTATAATTTTGCATTGTGCTCTGCATGCATGAAAAGAAGTAAAATACAGAGACAGTAAGACCTTCCTAGACTAGGACAGAAGAGGCTGATTTGAAGGTAAGACATTACTTTGAATGAGAGCACTGTGATACTGTTAAAAAAAATTTAAATTCATTTTGGCAAATAATATACGTGTGGATGGAGACAAGACATAATTTTCAGTTCTGTTTAAAGCTCATAAGACTAGCTGTAGAAGACAACATCCAAATTTGGTTAACACACTAAGAGAGAGATAAAATGAAGAGAGACCCAAGGACTGTCATTTGTACATTTCCAAGGTTCTTGGAAAAAGCGTTAGAAGCAGAAACTACTTTCTAGATGTAAGGATAACTAATCCCTAGACATAACATAACTATTTATAATGCACCATATATAATAGCTTATCACCTACATATAATATAGTACACTACTTCAGTTGTGAAATAGTCTTTACAGGTTTTTTTTCATCAGTAATCAGGTCATAATATCATACGGGATCATCCAGATATAATTATCTTGCCTTTGGGCAAAGGAAGAGATTAGGATTTTTACGTTCACTTTCTGCCTGATATATACGTGGTCCTCAATACAAACCTGTCACTTCTAAATGATGCATAATAATCACAAAAAAAGAATCAAGAGAAATGAACTAATTACATTTACTTATGAAATATAGCTAACTGCTGTCACTGAATAACGGAGAATAGCAAACCTGATCAACAATGTCGTTGACTTTATCACGTTCACAGTCCAAAATCACTCGCCTTTCCTTTTTTACCTCTAGATCTTGAAACAGTGAACGGTAAGTTTCATCTTTTCTGTCATTGTTAATATTTCCTACATTGATAGCAGTCACTTGCCATTTCTTTTCAGCAGCAGAATCCAGTACAGCTTGCAGTGTTGATAAGCCTAGTGAAGCACAGGAGAAAACAGAAGATGTGACTGATAAAGCTCTGGGAATAACAAGCTTCTAGAACTTGATTATGATTATTTAAGATTTCCCTGGAACTTGTTTGACCTGTCACACATTGTTAGGACTCAGAAATGAAGATATGTGTAGGCCAAATCAGTTCTTATTGCATGAAATTTCTATTTACATCGCTGCAAGAAATCAGGGTAGAGTCTTTTAAGTACAACCTTCTGGTTTTGCTTCATCCTTCTTCAGAAGAGGATTTTGCCAGTTTCACTGATCCACTGCTGGAATTCCACATGCTGGAAAAGAGATCTTCTAGGAGAAAAGTGATCCAATTACAGCAAGAGGATAAGCTGCTTATTATGAAACGCTATTGAACTGCTTTTGTTCTCAGCGCTTGAGCAGTACTGCATGTAAACCAGTACCTCATTCAGTCATCTTTAAAGAAGAACTGATGGGAAGTTTTATACATCATGCAATGAATATTTCTTTTAAAATGATAGATAACTACAGTCCAACTGTACATATAAACTATTTAACACGTGTTAAAGATAAATGTGGTTAAGTTATGCTAAAAGGAAAAGTAAGCAAACTAAAAGATATAGGGAATATTTTAAAATATTAAAAAGCACTAAAATAAGTCTATACCTCGAAGATAATGTTTTCCCTTGTAATTTAAATTAAGTTTAAAAAAAAAAAAACAACAAACAAACTGAAATGGATAGAATTCAAATAATTGTTTCAGACCTCATTTACCAATCTGTCTATATGTGTTTTTTCTGAGTTAAACAGAACCTTGGTTAGGCATCAATTAATAAGGGCTATTAATGTTAATTCTTATTATGAAAAATTTCTATATTTTACTCCTCTGATCTTCCATTTTTCCTAGGGACTACCTTTTCTTGGGGCACTCTCTGCAGAGATGTCAAATGGCTTCCTGGATTCCTTGCTTTTTATAGGTGGCAGATTTGTCATCACCATATAGTTTAGTTTATTCTGATAGCAATAACATATTTCAAAAGAATGAAAACCAACCAAACAAAAAGCATTCACAGCAATACTTCTGTGGACATGGAAGTATCTGGAGAAGTGGGACTCTGCAGAGGGGAGAACTTCAGTTACTCTTTTTAAAATGCAGGAATACTTCTGCTTGTGAACAAGAGAGGTTCAGGCACATGAGTTTATCATGAGACAAACTCTTAATTCAGCAAGTTCTGAAAAGGAGGACTAAATGGAGGCTGTGTAAATTAGCAGTTATGTTAAAAATAGAAAACTCCAGGAATGTCACTGTTTTTTTCCAAAACCCACTGTTCAGTACTGGCACCACAGAGGAGGCAAGGAGGATAAAGGACACTAACTCGCATTATATGAGAGCAACTGCCATATTAAGCCAATAATAGCTTGGAGATACCTGTACTGAATGGCGTAATTCTTACAGACAGGAATGAGACATGAAATTGCCCTGCACTTCAACCAGTTAGTCCCTAACCACAGATGAGCTGTAAAAGTAGCAATAAATGAATCTTTTGGAATAAGTCATCAAACTCGTTCCTATTAGCTTTCACAGCTTCCATTAAGAGTAAGTCTTTTTGCCTTTTTAATCTCATTCATGAAGGTGGAAACATTTTAAATTATATATCATTCCTTAAACATACATCACTCCATTAAGACCTATGCAAAAGCGTTAGGAGGAATTGTGGACCCTGCGTGTTCAGGGTTTGATGTCAGCGTTGCTGACTACATACTGCTTGACTCTGCAGGTCAACCTTGTGCTATCAGTGTGAGCACTGAGGAGCCACGATTTACTCTGCATAAAGGTAGGAGTTTCATGCCTTGGAGCTTGATATCACTGGGGTGCTTTGCCACAATTAAACAAATAAAAAAAAAGGCATAACCAAAGGGTGACTACAAATAACAATCTCATGCTGTTATTCCTGGCCAGATTTAGCCAGTGCAGCTCACAAGAACTAGATGTTTTTCAGTATTTCCTAAATATAAATCACATGCAGGTCATGTACTGCACACTGCTAGCTGATTGGTAAGCAAGCAGTTTTACATCTGTTCATTCTAAAAAGGTAGTGAAAGTTTCTGATTCTAATGTGAATTTGGAAAGAATCTGCCAAAGAAATGGGCTTAGGGTTCATCATCCCACACGACATTACTGTTGAAGGCTACTTACCAGCATTAGCTTTTCTAACTTTAGTGCTTACAACAGTGATAAAGAACTGTCTTAAGGAGGTCCCTTCAGCCTCTGAACAACATAGCACATAGAATGGCATCAGAATACAGTCTAATGTCACCCCATTACTCAACAAACCATGGTGCGGTAAAACAGTCCTTTAAATCTAGTGGCATCTTACCATTTAATGTGCACTTAATATTCAACTCTGACCAGAGAATATGCAGCTGAGCCACACAATGGCCTTTTTAATGGGAACAGGAGAAGGTAAGAACAGAAAAAAGACAACGGTTACTAGGTGAGGAGAACCTAACAACAGAATGACAATAACAAAATTCCAGAAAGGGCAGTCAAAAAAAACCCACTTCTGTACAATACTGCTTCTTCTCAGAAAACTGATTAATATACCATAATTTGCAAGTAATTTTTCCCAGCTCATAAACTTTTCTATTATTATTACCACAGCCATAAAAGGGCATAGCACTTTAAAAGCCTGTACCGCAGATTAAATAGCTCATAAACAGTGGATTTGCGTTTATCAACAACAAAAAAAAAAATGTAAGCTCAACAGAGGAGAGGAACTCCAGTATTTATCAAAAGCAGTCTCCAAAGAAGCAGGGACTGCATCCAAGATTCTTGTTTGATTGGTGCCCGTCTATCCGTTTTGCAAATGTGGAGTGAATCTGTGGTAGCAGACTGCCCTTCATGCTCAGATGCTTTTTTCTCCTAAGATAATTCTTAAAAAAAACAAAAACCAAAACAAAACACAAAACAAAAAAACACCACCACCAAAAAACTTTTCATAGGAACTGTTTTACATGTCATTAATCTCACATTGCTTATCAGCACATTCTTGCAATTCTATTAATACATACTGTAACAATTTCATTCTCATTTAAACAATTTTGTCCCAAAACCTCATTTCTAAATTTAAGCTTACACTTGTGGAAGGTAAATATTCCTTTTCTCATTTACTTGTGTCATGCAAATTCAGCATTTCAGTGAGATACATCTAGCAAGCAGCATACTGATATAAAGTACCACATCCTACCTCTGTCGCTGTCATACAAATACGCAAACTTGGTCCACTGATAGTACTCGATCAAGCTAAGAAGAGCTCCCTTGAGGTCAGGTCTCATCTGAATGACAAAAGGATGTGTTCCATCTGTTGGGAAGCTGGGAGTTATGAAGGAGACATGAAGAGTCCCGCAGAAAGAGGTTATGGTATTTACAGACTTCTTGTCATAGAATCCAAAAATTGCAAAGACTCCTCTTGAAAACTGGGAGCAGACTAGGAGTGAGAAAGAAAAACAATTAGGTGGGAGAATTTTTTCAAAAAATGTATTGAAAACTATCATGTATATAAATTGCCTGATAACCCAAATAACAGGAGAAAACAGCAATACACTGCTATGGAGATTACTATCTGTTATTATTATTAATCTGTAATATAAAGCTTCCTCTAGAAACAACAACAAAATAATCAGAGATGTGCTTCACATTCCTAGACGATTAATTTAGAAATTAAACTTACTGAGTTAGTCTTAAATTCTATTTATATTGTAAAGAACAGTGATATAAACATCAATGCAGCTGTAACATATAAAATGAGTCATTATGACCACACACAGCATTATGGAAATAGGTAACTTATTGTCATGTTAAAAATAAATTGGAACTGAGGTCAAAACTCACTGAGCTTTTTGCAAAATACCTGAAATAACTTTCCATTTGGGAAAATATAAAGGCCAACTAGAAGCAGATTTCCTTCTATTAACAGCAGAAAAGACGTTAATTTGCCTTAAAACCCCTCTGCTTCAAGGCATTCTTTTACTTTCAGCTTTGTAGGACTCAGCAAAAGCAGGTCCTTCTGGATGACACTTGCAGTCATGCTGCAGGAAGAATAACCTCACAGATGTAAGTAACATGCTGATTATTCACTTTTCATCACTGGAGACAATTCAAGCCAACTGATGAACACCACCCCTGCAATAAGATGTCCCTGCTCATTGCAGAGGTGGCGGACTAGACAACCTCTATAGGTGCCTTCCAACCCAAACTATCCTATGATTCTGTGAACGCTACCAATCACCACAGCCTGTTTAAAAGAGCTAGCTCTTTCGGGTTATTCTCTTCTTTGCCACTGCAGGCTATACTAGTGCCTAAGTTCTGAAACCAGGCTCCAGTAAGGAAATATTCATCTCTGATTAATTCTCATTCATCATTTATGCATTCTTTGGTTTGCACATAGTCACCTTGAACAAGAGACATCCTCCTGAAGAAAACATCTAGTCAGCTGCATTGCAAATCCTGCTCACCTGACCTGCTTATAGATAACAATCACGGTGTAACTGAAGCTAATCTTGTCCAGCTACTCAGTGCACTCACTAACCCTTGAATATAATTCACATATGGGCAAAAATAAGTTTACTTAATTTAAAAAATTCTCTTTATGGCAGATTAATACAGTATTTTCTCTTTTGAAGTTACTACATGTTTAATTTTTTTTTTTTAAATATCACCCTTTTATGCCTGTTATTATTCATAGCTGCTGTCTTTCCATGCCTTTGCCTATCAATCTTCGGCTACCATAGTCATCTCTCATACCCTAATTATTTCTATGCTCCAATTAAAAGCAACTAAATAAACAGTATGGCTGAAATTTTCAGTCTGCCACTTTCAACACTTAACACCTATTAACTTTAATTAGGTCAGAATTTCACCCCAGGTGAGAGAATATAAGCCATGAAAAAACTTTCTGAGTATTACCCCCTTACAAAAGCCTGCTGCAGGTTCTCCAGGGCTAGGGTACAAGATGGTTACACCTCTTCTGTACCACCTGCAAATCATTATGTAAAGTTTCAATATTTATCTAAAGTGTATTAAGGGTATAACACTGCTCATGGTGAACAAAGATTTCTGAAAAAGGCTGTGAATTTTCTGAACAGCTTTTCTGCTTAAGTTACTGAAACTCCTTGTTCTAGTCCAAATCACTATGGTCTCACTGAGACAAAACCAACTCCCTACCTCCCCACACACTCATCGACAATTGTTTCCCATCTGCAGCAAAGGCTAAATACTTTCTGAACTTGCTACAATAAAGGTGTTAATGTCTCATAATCCACTTTCAAAACTGCACATTAAAATAAAGCACCAGTTTACATTTCGATCCCTGGGTGAGAATTCCACAGAAGAGTGTTACTGGCACACTACTGTGATCTTCTGTATTAAGCCATTTTAATGCTGCATGTAAGATGACAGAGACAACAACAGTGTCATCCAAGGATCACTGAAAAGTAAGTAAGTTTTATGCAGGTATTGCTGACTCCTAGGATATTATCACATCTCCTGTCACACTTAATACTTCTCCTCAATCACGAGTCAGTGATTTTAGGCATAGATGAAATAACGCTGCCTACAACAGCCAACAACTGGGGCCATTTGCCTACACCAGGAAATCTGAAAAAAAACCAAAACCCATAGATGTTACCTTTTCAGAAGCACAACTGCCACCCCTAATAAAGAAAGTCCTGGCACTTTGGAGCACTGTACTCCAGTCTTGTCTCACTTCCTTCCCAATCTTTCCCGATGCCGGAAAGATCTGGACTCATCAGGCCTCAGCTAAACATCTTTGAGCTAATGAAGTTCAGTGTGCCCAAGCTGTTGGCAAGTTTTAGTTAAGGCTCTCTCTTGGTTCATGAAGTCATAGACTCATGCTGTTTACCCTGGAGAAGAGGAGGCTCAGGGGAGACCTTATCGCTCTCTACAACTACCTGGAAGGAGGCTGTAATGAGGTAGGGGTGGGTCTCTTCTCCCAAGTGACAAGAGATAGGACAAGAGGAAATGGCCTCAAGTTGTGCCAGGGAAGATTTAGATTGGATATTAGGCACAATTTCTTCACTGAAAGGGTAGTCAAGCACTGGAACAGGCTGCCCAGGGCAGTGGTTGAGTCACCTTCCCTGGAGGTATTTAAGAGACATGTGGACAAAGTGCTGAAAGACAAATGGCTTAGTGGTGGTATTGATAGTGTTAGGTTAACGGTTGGACTTGATGATCTTAAAAAGCCTTTTTCAATCTAAAAGTGTCTATGATCCTACTTTCTGTCCACCAGGGTCAGAGGGGAGTGGGTGAGCAGCTGTGTGGCTGCTTCATTGCTGGCTGAGATAAACCCACCGCAGGGCAAAAGGTGTTACTCCACGTTCCACCCACAGGACAGACCTGTTCATACCACTGGCCTGCACTCAAACAGGGGAAGGAGTTCTGCACTCTTTCAGTGATACAAACATGCAACCAACCTACTCTCCTGCTGCTGTTCTTTCAAACTGAACATCCTCCATGACATGGCACAAACTCATACTACCCCTCTTCACTCATTACTTACTGGCTATTGACCAAACACAGTTCTCTGGCATTAACACAGCAAGCAGTTCTCCATTTAATAATCTTTACACCTGGTAAATCATCAGTCCTTACACATATGTCATCTTCTGGGGAAGACAGGTGTGCTGGTTTTGGCTGGGACAGAGTTGTGGTTATGTTTTGGATTTGTGCTGAAAACAGTGTTGCTAACACAGGGATGTTTCAGTAACTGCTGAGCAGGGCTTACATGGAGTCAAGCCCTTTTCTGCCTTGTCCCTCACACTACCCCACCAGCAAGTAGGCTGGGGGTGCACAACAAGCTGGGAGGGGACATAGCCAGGACAACTGACCCGAACTGACCAAAGCGATATTCCATACCATATGACATCATGATTGGCATATAAAGCTGGCGGAAGAAGGAAGGAGGGGGCATATTCACAGTGATGGCATTTTGCCTTCCCAAGTAGCTGTCGGGTGTGATGGAGCTCTGCTTCCCTGGAGACGGCTGAATACCTGCCTGCCAATGGGAAGTGGTGAATTAATTCCTTGTTTTGCTTTGCTTGCATGTGCAGCTTTTGCTTTACCTATTAAACTCTTCATCTCCACCTGTGAGTTTTCTCACTTTTACTCTGATTCTCTCCCCCATCCTACTGTGGGGAGTATGAGAGTGAGCAGCTTTGTGGTGGTTAGTTGCCAGCTGGGGTTAAGCCATGACCATGGGTAAAACTGGAATTTTGTTCTCCTCTCCTGCACAAAAGTGAGAGACGAGTACAAAGCACCATCTCCAACAAGGCAAGTCAAGTCACTGCAGTTCTAGCTACATACAGGGGCCACAGCTCCAAAGCTGATTTTCACACACATGTACTCAATACGAACAAATACTAAGATAATAATTTTAAAAATAAATATTTTTGCTTTTAAGAAACCTGACACCCAGATATAAAACTCATTTAATTCAAACCAAGGCCCCCTGGATGTGAAATTAAAACTCGTTCTAACACAGATCTTGAAATTATGGACATCACACATGAGCAAATATTAAGCTGTGTGGATCAGCCAGAAAATCAGGATCAACTTTAATCCAGGATCAACTTTAATCCAGGTAAAAATAAATTTTCATCAGCAGTGATCAGTGTCACAGTTGTATACTGAAGAACCTCAGTGTTGTGCTTTTGCATGTATAATTCCTCTTAAAGATAAGTGGGAGGGTACCTATGCCATGCAATAAAAACTTGCTAAAATTAAGCATTTAGACTTTGTCTCGAGACAAATGCTTGCAATTGTTCCGAAGCATTTGGTCTCTCAGGAGGAGGAGGGAAAAAAAGGGATGGTATTTCCAAGCATATAACGGTGATCCAGTGGATAATGCAGAAAGCATAATTGCTTTTGGCAGGATTCCCACCTTAGACTGAGTCTACAGTCATGTTGTTATTGCTGGGAGACATTAGTTTTATAACGGTGAATCACAAGCTGTTCACAGTTATTAGATTAAAAAAGTCATGATGATGAGGACTCATAAGCCATTGAAACATGAAAGATCTATTTTATTAAAAAGACATTAGAAGCAACTGCCAGGAATAATTTCTTTCAAGCTCTTCTATATGAATTGTTTTTCTTTGGGTTTATGTTGTCCTTTCCAGAAATAGTCAGTGGCCTACTTAGCAACAAGAGGGCAAGGATATGGTAAGCTCATTTTGTGATGACTTTTCTATGGAGACTCGACTAGGCTGGCAAATAACTGGGAATCCCAAGAAACAAGGTAAATAATTAAAGGTACTTGAGAAACAATAATTCCAAGAGGGTTTTGTTGAAGTTTAGAATTAAGTATTTTGTATTTCACTTCTCACTGTTTTTCTGCTAACACAGCCAGACAAAAGCCTAGTTGCCCTTGTTTTCTGGAACACTGAAATGAGTCCTAGTTTTTTCTTCCAAAAACTAGGGCCCAGATTTGTTCAATAACAAAATTAAGCTTAAGCTTCCGGTGAGAAATAGAAGCCATGTCAAAGGAGGGCCAAAACTACTTGCTCAATTATTAACTCTCCCATTGTTAACTACATCTGCTGCTTCTTAGACCTCCTTTTTGCCAGGATGCACTCATATTTTTTTCTCTTGGACACTTTCTCCATTTCACTATCCTGTTTAGTAAAGGAACTCTACAGGCAGGGTAACCTATTTAGTGCTGTGGACATAACTGGTTCTCCAGGAACAAATAAGTAACAGTAACATACATTCTTTGCCTCTCATCATACAGGACATATTTCTGTGATGCATATCTTCTTATTCCTAGGACTCAAAAAGTGCCAGCTGAAGAGTACACATTTGAAAATTCAAAATATAAAAATATTATTATGTAAAGCTAAGAATATTTGTAAAGTGATGCCAGTTTAGGAATGATAACTCATTTTCATGACTGAAGAACTGAATCTTTAGAGGCATAAAATCAATTACAAATAGTTGCATTTGAATACACATGCTTAGAAACTACTCCTCATCAGATCTGCCAAAGCCAAGATTTCCTTTCCAAAGGGAGAGTAATGAATCTACAGATTGTTTACTTTCAGGGACAATTAAATTGGAAATAGAAAATTAACAAATTGCTCACCTAACTTACTGCACCAAGTGTCTTAATATTAAACATGGGGAAATTAGTCTTCAGTGTGTATGATTTAATCACACCCAATAGAATACTCATTCTCTTACTTCTAAGAGCAAGAAAATATGGTGCAAGTATAAATAAAGAGTCAAGAACTGCCCTTGCAAAAGAGGACCAAAACTCAAAGGAAACACCCATTGGCCTGAAAAGTTGATAGATGAGATGGAAGCAGCCAGAAACAAGACATGGAAAGTGAATGCCCCGTCAGTAATTTCAGCTTCTGAAAGGCAACATTAAGAACAAGCAAACAGTAGAAAGGAACCACAAACAATAGATGGAACAAAAATAGCAAAAAATAAGCAACAAAAAAAAAAAAATCTATGTGCAGCTGCCAAGAGAATTCACATATGATTGAAACTGCATCGAAAATCATTGTGAGAATATAAAACAATATAGATTGCTTCCAAAGCCATGAAAAAAATTGCAGCATATCAGAAAGCATGTTGTATATACACTTTTATAGACGAAGGATTTTTTTAGCGTAGTGATGTTGTATATAATCTCCGTTGTCTGTTTTACCTACTTAAACTATTACCTTCTACATATGAGGTGTAAACTTCTCTTCAGGAAGAGTGACTAAGGCATAGGGTATCATGTAAGCCTATCCAAAGTGTTATTTAGAACCTTGAAGGGATATGTATTTAAACAGCACAACTTGAGATGAAGTTACTTCAAGAGCCATGGTAGGCTGACTAAAATTGGTAAAAAACAGTTCCCCAAAGCTTAAAGAAAAGCATAATAACTGAAAGATAACACAGTGGACCAAAGCTTCATGCTAGGATTCAAGAAAACATGGACATGAAAAACAAATAAAACCTGGCATTTTAAAATCCCAAGATACCCTTTGTCAATTAAAACATCAGTGGCAACCAGAACTAAAAATATGCTCTATTGCTGGATAACAAAACCCTGAATTACATAGAAAATACTTTCCTTTTTGTCTCTTTTCGCCATGTTTAATTCCAGTGCCAGTAATTGTGGATTTTTACCTTATTTTGAACATATTTAAAAAAAAAAATCTATGTGCCTGGATATTCAATACTGATCTAAACTGTGTATTTTTTGCTTGCAGACTGTGCATATATATATATATATATATGGGCGGGGGGGAGGAAACACACCACCACACAGCGTTAGAGCACAGAACACAGCTTAGTAACAGCCAGGCAGTTAGTTAACAATCTGCAACAGAAAGGGGGCCTCAGTTTTGCAGAGACTACTAGAGAAATTCTCAGTCTCAGAGAGGGAAGAGAGCAAAATTTAAATCCTGAGGCCGGAATGTCTGTAGAGGACAATTATGATGGAGCAAGTACAAAGGAGGTTTTTTGCACCTTTTCTGGAAAAAACATAGTCTTCAGTTGTTGCTACCACCTAAACAGTTTGCTCAGAAATTAGGTGACCGAATGGAACTTCCCACACCATGTTATTTGCAAGAGTGGCTTTGATCCATGTGCAAGATTAGAGTCAAAACCTGGGTTGCTGCAGTATGAAACAAGCTCAAAGACCAGAGGAGAAGCAGATTAATCTATTTCAACCAGTCAATCATACTTCACACTGAGGAAAGAAACTTTGTGCCAATATGAGGTATTTTAAGCAAGCATAAAAAAACCTTGAAGAGGATAGTGGCCATCTGCTACGAAGGTACATGATGATACAGCACAGCTTCTCTAATGCTGCAATAATGAAGGTGGTAAATAAACATCATGTTCAGATTGAAACAACAAGTCAGAAAAAACAGTCTGTTTCAGTGACAGTTGCATTCAATTACATACTGCTTGGCTGTGTACTGTAAGCATTTGAAAATCTTTTCCATGGCTAGGACAATTACCATGATGCAGAAGAAATCACTGCAAATACCACTGAAAGAACCATGTTAAAACAATTACACTTTTATGAATAAAACAAGATTCCTGTAATAAAAATAAAATGCAATGCAAGTCTTCTTATAAAGAAAAAAAAAAAATTGCCCATATTCCACACAATTCTTACACAGCTCTTCCCAGAACTGTTGGGAAACTATTCTATTTCTCTAAGTCCCCATTAATGCCAGCTGAAGGACGTACACTGCTTCCTGAACCCTGAATGTGGTGACCTGGTAACTCTACTAAATAACTGAAATATAACTTTATCTCGCCTCCAAAAAACTGTGTCTCCAATAACCAGGATATTCTTTAGGAAGCTTCTCTCCCCTGCCTCCCTCCTTACTCTCCTCCCACCACCCCAAATAAAAACCCATGATATTTCCATTTCATTACATAAAATTTAACTCATTTATTTATTTCCTTCAAATCTAACAACTCACCTTGCAGATCTGCCTGTCTGGCTTTCTCACTGTTTGTCCCTTCTCCAACAATTACAACTTTGCAGTTAACACAAAAATGTGAGTGTCAGACAAAGTATTACCACCTAGATATAGAAGTAGATAATCAAATCTAAGAAGAAATTACTGCCTTTTCAGAGCCACGCTGCAAGTCGTACAGAAGCCGGCTTTTTCAGGGTCAGGCTCTTAGTTCGCGCAATCAGCATAATTTCACTGAATTTAATGGAGCCAATGTAATTTGCCCCAACTAAAAATATGTTTTTCCATTTTTGGCATAACCATTTTCACAAACTTTTCAGACCAGAAATGTCATATGTAACAGAAGGCTTATCTCCTCTTCCCCTTAATCAGCATTGCTGAAAGCATCCCTTTTCTACATTTCATTAAACTAATCATCTTTCAGTTCCCAAGAAAACGCTGTTGTGTAAAACTGTGTATTTGAAAACTGGTAAAAGGATTAGGGAAGGCAGAAAATTAAGTTGGTATATACACCTATTTTGTGTTAAAAACATCAGCAGATTGTGATTCAATTTATGAAACTTGT